TGTGGTATTTTTTGACAATATTCTCTCATCATGACAGTAAAATAGGGCATTATATACTGCAGTATTTCCTCTCAATCAGTAGAAAATTTGGTTAACACCCGGTCATGCATGAAAAAAAATTACCGTCATGTACTGTGAAACCGGTATAATTTAGAAAAATACCGTGATTTGTGGTCATACCGCCCAGCATGAATATATAACTTTTTTGGGTATAAATGATTTCTTCTAAAATCCTGCTTTAATCTGTTTGTATTGTATTTAAATCAGATTTGTGTTTGGTGTAGTGGTGCACTGGTTTGTAACGGGGATGTGTTTGTGTGTGTCAGCTGCTGGAGCCGGTGTGTCATCAGTTGTTCGAGTTTTACCGCAGCGGCGAGCCGCGTTTACAGCGCTTCACTCTGCAGTTTCTGCCGGAGCTGGTGTGGAGTTACCTGTTGGTGACGGCGGCGAGAGATCCTCACTGCAGCGGCTGCATCGAGGCACTTCTGCTCGGCATCTACAACCTGGTGAGAGCCCTGCTCAACTAACACATGCTGCACACCACAGAGGTGACCCTGGAGCACAAAAGCAGTGTTAAGTCGCTGGAGGATATTTGTAGCAATATAAAACATTATTTACCCCGTTTGTATCTGCGAGGTGTCCGTTACACATTTCTCCTGTGTGTTAACGTAATTATGACTGTCGAATGCCTGACTTGACTCTTGGTAATGTATTTTGCCCCCCGCCCCCAAACATATGATTCGGCTATCAGTCGAATATCAGCAAGATTCGAAAATTCAGATTCGGCTATGAAAATCCTTAGTCGGGGACACCACTAACATATGTATATGTATATATATATATAAATAATGGTGCTGGGCGGTATACCGGTTCATACAGAATACCGGTGTTTATTTTTTGTTATGATATGAATTTATGTACTGTGAAACCGGTATAATTTAGAAAAATACCGTGATTTGTGGTCATACCGCCCAGCATGAATATATAACTTTTTTGGGTATAAATGATTTCTTCTAAAATCCTGCTTTAATCTGTTTGTATTGTATTTAAATCAGATTTGTGTTTGGTGTAGTGGTGCACTGGTTTGTAACGGGGATGTGTTTGTGTGTGTCAGCTGCTGGAGCCGGTGTGTCATCAGTTGTTCGAGTTTTACCGCAGCGGCGAGCCGCGTTTACAGCGCTTCACTCTGCAGTTTCTGCCGGAGCTGGTGTGGAGTTACCTGTTGGTGACGGCGGCGAGAGATCCTCACTGCAGCGGCTGCATCGAGGCACTTCTGCTCGGCATCTACAACCTGGTGAGAGCCCTGCTCAACTAACACATGCTGCACACCACAGAGGTGACCCTGGAGCACAAAAGCAGTGTTAAGTCGCTGGAGGATATTTGTAGCAATAGCCAACAATACATTGTACATTGTACACAATACATCTTGTGTAGTATAACTTGTGTTTGTTTGTTTGCTGGTTTTTATTGTATTTGTTATACTTGTGTTTTTTGAATTGTTTTTGGCATGAAAATAGCCTTTGATGCTGACATGTCATTGAATAAAAATATACTACTACTAATATTATCCATATGACTGCGCTGACGCTCTCGGGTGGGAACAAAACTCCAATCCCAAAAATAAAGATCCTTATGGGTGGTTTTGTGGTCCAGGGTCACAAATGATATTATCATATGAACTCACTTAAAGAGTTATTTTGTATAATTTTGCCAGAAAACGTTTTAGAATTTTTATCATATGTTAATGTAAGAAATCTTGTGTAGTATAACTTGTGTTTGTTTGTTTGCTGGTTTTTATTGTATTTGTTATACTTGTGTTTTTTTAATTGTTTTTGGCATGAAAATAGCCTTTGATGCTGACATGGCATTGAATAAAAATATACTACTACTAATATTATCCATATGACTGCGCTGACGCTCTCGGGTGGGAACAAAACTCCAGCTGAATTTAGTTGAATAATGAGGCTGTTATCTTCTGTAGAGCTGCTTTATACTCTAGATAAATTGATTTTTCATAATTGATGAACTTGGCAAAATTGACACTATAATTGAAATGAATTGAATCAGCATTGAACTGAATTGAGCTGAATAATGACAGTATTCTTTTCAATCAACTTTGCAGCATTGACACAGCTATTGAATAAAACTGAAACAAAACTGAATCCACTGAATTGAATTCAGCTGAAGAATGGTTTATAGTTGGATCGAATTTGTTTCGTAATTGAAGAACTTTGCAAGATTAATGTACATAAATACATGTTTATAGGGCCTTCTGTTTTATTCTTTTCTAAATTCCGTTGTTTTGTTTTGTTTTTTCTCCACTTGTTCATTTTTCAGCATTTTCTTTTTCTTTTTTTTTTTTTTTTGGTTTTAGTTTTAGTTTTTTCTGGACTGTGTATTAATAGTTACATTTAGTATTTTATTAATCAAAAGTAATTTTAGTAATCAAAAAGCATGACTAATTAATTAAAATCATGAAGCGTACACAGTTTACCAGCAATTTTTTTAAAGTTTAACAAAATGTACACTTTTAGGGGCTTATGAAGTACGTTTTATTTTTATTTATTTTATTATTATTATTATTATTATTATTATTATTTATTTTAATGAATTTATTTATTTGCCAAATTCCACATTTTTCATTTTGATATTTCTGGATTTAATTTGAATGGTTTAATTAAATTGTAAGAATTAAAGCATGTCTAATTAATTTAATCTTTTAATCAAATGAAAATTAAACAAGCCCTTTTTTGCAAAGAAAGTGTTGCACATCAGATGTTTACCGTTAAATTGTATTTTTGATAATAATTTTGATTCAAAGGTTAAGTAATTGAATAGTAATGAATAATTATTAATAATATTTTATAAAATGTATTATTATTAGTGTTAGTACTATTATTATATTGAGACATACGTTCTTTTGTACAATCGCAGTATGTTTCTGTCACAATTTCTTCATGTGAAACAGAACTTTTATTTTGGCGGGTTGTCATGAAGACCTTTGAGTTTCTGTGTGTATATCGTATGATTGTTTTATTTTATTTTGCTCATCAATTTTTAATCAGCAAACGAGTTCACATAAATGTGACTTGGAAAAATCTTTGAAAGATATTCAAGGCTTTTCCCCGAGCCCTAAAAATCATGTCAAGAAATGGTGTAGATGTGACTCAGAGAGGCTTTTCCGGTGAACTTTAGCTGTGGATTTTGCCTTGAGCAGGAAGTGGTGTTTTTATCCGGCTGTGAGAAGGGAAGTCTTTCATGGGTTTTACGCCCCGTGAAGTCGCCCTGAATGTCAGAGTAGCTCAGCTGTCAATCAGCGACAGACGGTCTGTGGGTGTCCTGTGTTTGCAGAGCGACACTGAAATCTCACTCGATCTGCTCTGAAGAAGTCTCGAGTCGTGTGAACCGTTCATCATGACTGTGCTGAAATGTTTCGACATCTTGTCAAACTCGTGACACGTTCACCATCAGTGCTGAGGAGTGACGAGGCGCTGAGCTTTATCCGAGCTTCACTGTGTTTCTGACTGCAGCTCAGTTGTTTTCCAGATTTATGTGACCAAAGGCTTCGTCATGGTCTTTTTGGTCATATTATACACAAGCACAGCTTTACAGCTCAGAGTCAAAATCCTTTATCCCTGAAACATGTTTTATTAGATTTAACTTTGTACAGTATATATATATATTACATGTAATTTTAAATTAATTATAATTTTTTGGGGAAGTGTTTTTGTAATATTGATATATTTAAAGTTTTATATTTATTTTTTAGGTGAAATAAAATGTATATAGATATAGTATTTATATTTAATTTGTAATAAATGATCAGACTTTGGGGAGGGGGTGAAATACAGTTTTGCTTTTGTTTTTTGTCTCTATGCATTCTTTAGATGAGTTTTAATTTAAATAAAATGAACACTTTGGGCAAAAACCTTGGTTGTGGCTAATAGGGATCCAAATAAACGAATAAACGTGTTTGTTTCGCTTTCTGACAAAGACGGGCAGCTTTTGTTTTCAGTGTTAAAGGAACTAAATGAAATTGCAGTGCAAAGGAAACGCATTAGATGCTTTATCTGGTTGCTTTCATCATTCTGCCAAAGAGACCGATGGGAAATTTTTGTAATCTTTTTATTTTTTTAATGCAATCCTGTTGTCTTAAAATGGTTGGTGTTTTTGGGTGAGCTTTATTGCTGTTCTTCATCGACAGCACACAAAACGAGTTAAATACAGTAAATGCGACACCTCTATGTGCTCATAAATCTCATAAATATGCTTATTTGTAAAGGCATCGTCATTAAGGTTATTGCCTTGTTTATCTTCAGTACAGTTGCAGGGTTTTGGTGTTTGCATGTTCCCTCGTGTGTCTGAATCCGTCATGTTGATCATTTCTCTCTCTCTCTCAGGAAATCGTTGATAAAGACGGGCAGAGTAAAGTGTTGTCCTTCACCATCCCTTCCTTATCGAAGCCATCGGTTTATCACGAGGTGAGTCGATCTGATCCGTCTCTTAAGCCACAACACCGGTTACGTCACTTGCCCACCGTCTTTTAGATTTTTTCTAGTAATAAAAATCATTTAGTTCAGTTAGAGAACATTTCATTTATCACGTGATGAGAGCGAGTCGAGCTGACTGACGAGAAGGGTGAGGTGAGAAAGACAAGACCAAAGACAAGCTTGCAGTTCGATTCAATATCGATTATTATAGATAAATGTGACTCTCGAGCACAAAAGCAGTGTTAAGTCGCTGGGGTATATTTGTAGCAATAGCCAACAATACACTGTATGGGTCAAAATTATTGATTTTTCTTTTATGCCAAAAATCATTAGGATATTAAGTAAAGATCATGTTCCATGAAGACATTCTGTACATTTCCTACCGTAAATATATCAAAACTTAATTTTTGATTAGTAATATGCATTGCTAAGAACTTTATTTGGACAACTTTAAAGATGATTTTCTCAATATTTAGATTTTTTTGCACCCTCAGATTCCAGATTTTCAAATAGTTGTATCTCGGACAAATATTGTCCTCCTAACAAACCATACATCAATGGAAAGCTTATTTATCCAGCTTTCAGATGATGCATACATCTCAATTTCGAAAAATTGACCCTTATCAATCAGGTTTTGTGCTCCAGGGTCACATATATCAGGTACAGTACATGCCAAAATTTCTCAAGGAACAAAATTCTCTTAGCTAATGCTGTAAAATATACATGAGAGTCAGTTGGTGCTACATTACTATAATATTGAAGGTTAAAACAGACTATAAATTTAGGCTATAAATTACACTTAATGAAGTTGGTATAATAAAAGTTACATAATATTTCTACGTCAGTTCGTTTTTTTTTAAATCTAAAATTTAAATGGTGGCTGTCATGAAACAAATTATAAATGAAACATTGAAATGTGACGTTACGTGACATTGTTTTCAAGCCGTTATATTGACGTCTTTGCGTGGCTGAAACACCGATTGAGAGATTACATGAGACAGGATACGGATTGTAAAGTTGTACTCTTATCTTCGGATGTTTAGTCATGTTTATTTTGTGCTGAAGCTGGTATTAATATAACTTGTGTTGAGTTTGTTTGCTGGTTTTTATTGTATTTGTTATACTTGTATTGTTTTTGCCATGAAGATGCTGACATGGCATTAAATAAATATATACTACCACTGCTACTACTACAAGCTATTTAAAAGCGAAAGAAAGCGAGGATGCGGTGATCTTGTCACACGTTGATTTCCTCACGGAGCTCTACTCTGCATCTGTCCTGACTCTCCGTCTCTGTGTCCCGCCCCCAGCCATCTTCCATTGGCTCTCTGGCCTTGACGGAAGGAGCCTTAGCCAATCACGGTCTGAGTCGTGTGGTGTACAGCGGCCCCCACCTGCAGCGCGAGACCTTCACCGCGCAGAACAGGTGCACATCAAATATTCATCCCGCGCCCCACGCTTTTATTATAGCCATCAATTTTTAATCAGCAAATGAGTGCTGACTGGGGATTGAATGGTGTGTTTTGCAGCTCTAATTTGATGATGTGTGTTTTAGGTTTGAGGTGCTGACGTTCCTGCTGCTGTGTTATAATGCGTCTCTGAGCTACATGAGCAGCTCGTCTCTGCAGTCTCTGTGTCAGCTCAGCTCCAGGTTTGACACGCTAACATACAGTTTCAGCCTATAGATACACACTGTCCGTTTTATAATGAACTCTTGAGGGATGTGATGGACCAGCACAGAGGCATAAATGACAAATGTTTGAGCACCAACGTATGTATGTATGGTCAAAATTAATTGATTCACTGCTTTAATTGCTTGTTTGCTTTAAGAAATATATAATCTTGAGTGCGTCTCCTGCCTCCTTGTGGTGTCGCTGCCAACTTTCAATCCAGACCTACTCGTTTGGACCGAAGTATGTCAGGCAGGGCAGTAATTTGGCTGATATTTGGCTTTTTGAGGTTTCCAGTGTAGGTCAATCTCCATTTAGTTGATTAAAATAAGTTAATCCCTTTTGTATCCGTTCCCAAATTAATAAAAAAAAAAGTTTAAATAAAAAATCCTTCATTTATTCAGTAATTGCCAAGCCTATTTGTTTTTATTTAGTTAGTTTAAATTATATTCAGATTTAATTATTTAAATGAATTTATTAAAATACAATGCATTCATTTATTTAAATTTTTATTAAATTCTTAGTTTAATTTTTATTTGAAACAATTAAATAATTAATGTATATAATTATTTAAAATGATTTAGTGTGTTTATTTATTTATTATCAGTTACCAAGGTTGTTAGTTGGTAAATAAATCAATTAAATAAATAAATATTCACTTATTTAAATGTATTCCTTTTTTTTCTTTCTTCAAACACATTATTTATCATTAATTAAAATTTTTTTGTGAATAAATATTATTTTTAATATTATTTCGATTTTATGTCATTTCACCTAGTTTATGTGCAATTTGTGTTTGTGTGTGCATTTTTGGACAGTGTGCAGTTCAGATCTGTGTGCGTGTGTCTGTGTCTGTGTGTGTGTGTCTGTATGTATGTGTATTTGTATGTGTGTGTGTGTGTGTCTGTATGTGTATTTGTGTGTGCGTGTGTGTGCGTGTGTGTCTCTGTGTGTGTGTGTGTGCGTGTGTGTCTCTCTCTCTGTGTGTGTGTGCGTGTGTGTCTCTCTCTCTGTGTGTGTGTGTGTGTGTGTCTCTCTCTGTGTGTGTGCGTGTGTCTCTCTGTGTGTGTGTGTGTCTCTGTGTGTGTGTGTCTCTCTGTGTGTGTGTGTCTCTCTGTGTGTGTGTGTGTGTGTGTGTGTGTGTGTGTCTTTCTCTGTGTGTGTGTTAACATTTTTTTGTGAATAAATATTATTTTTAATATTATTTCGATTTTATGTAATTTCACCTAGTTTATGTGCAATTTATGTGCATTTATTATATGCATTTTTGGACAGTGTGCAGTTCAGATCTGCTCTCATCGGGTCTTCAGGTCGGGTTTGTTGTGAATTTGTGAATAAAAATCCACCTATGATCCTCTCTGCGTCCAGTCACCCTGATCCTCTTATAGACCTGCACGCACTCAGATCTTCAGATCTGGGGTCTTCAGGTCGGGTTTGTTGTGAATAATGCGTCTCAAATCCACCTATGATCCTCTCTGCGTCCAGTCGTCCAGTCCCTCTTATAGACCTGAACGCACTCAGATCTGTGACCGCTCACGGTCACATGACTGATCACTCAACCAATCAGCTGGCGTTTACAGCTGAGCGAGCAAAGATCATTCCCTCGACTGCAGGCCTCAGGTTGAGCGGGTCAAAGGTCACATCACACTCCCTCATGGGCCTGAGAACACTAAACACTGATCCTAGTAATGAATTCACCCCGGTGGACGACAAACGTGGGCTTTTCATTGAACATGATTCAGATTTTGATTGAGTTGTTTGTGTTTTGGTGTGTTTTAGAGTCAGTATCTGTGGATATCCGCGGCAGCAGGTGCGGCGCTATAAAGGCATCAGCTCGAGGCTCATGGTCACGTCAGAGTTCCTCGTGCAGCTCATCACCGGCATTCATTTCGCACTGTGAGTCATTCAGAACAAACCTGCTATCACATGTGTTTATGGGAGTGGCGGAGGGGGGAGTGGCCTCAAGTAACCCCCCACGCCCCGCCCACCTCATTATTATCAATGAGCGTGACTGGTGGGGGTGTGGCCTCAAGTCTCCCCACGCCCCGCCCACCTCATTATCATCAATGGGTGTGGCCTCAAGTCTCCCCACGCCCCGCCCACCTCATTATCATCAATGGGTGTGGCCTCAAGTCTCCCCACGCCCCGCCCACCTCATTATCATCAATGGGTGTGGCCTCAAGTCTCCCCACGCCCCGCCCACCTCATTATCATTATCACACTTTCATACTTTCATACTTTCTTTAATATGACTGTTCTGGTCAAAGTGAAACTAGGTAGATGCTTACTAAAAGAATAGATTATTTATTATTATTTTGTTTCTACTCAATCATTTTGTTTTAAGCATGTATATGGTATTTTTAATTATCATCACTATTATTATTTAATTATTATTTATATATTTTTTCTGTGGAACACAAAAAGATCTTTTTGGAAGATTTTGTTAATGTATGAAAAAAGATTCATCAAATATTTGGCCGTTTTAAGATTTATCTCCATCTGTCGATACTTGACTGAAAGTAAACTGTTACCTTTTGCATCAGTTCTGAAATTTAAAAATAGTTATGTAATTTGTAACCTTTTTTTTTGTTTTATTCTTTTTCTACTCAATCATTTTGTTCTAACCCTGTATACTTTGATAGTTTTTATTTATTTTTCCTGTAGAATACAAAAATATTCTTCAAAAATGAATTAGGCCAGTTAATTTTGAGATTATCTGCATCTACTAATAATCATTTTTAATTTGACTGATTAAAAATAAGTTGTTCCCTTTTGTGTTAGTTCCCAAATGCAGAAAGAGTTATGTGATTTTTTTAATGCTATATTTTTAAGTATATATATATTTTAAAGTATTTTATATATATTTTTTTTAATAATAATGTATAACTTATTACTGTATTTTTTCTTCTTTTTTTTTTCTTCTTCTGTGTAACACAAAATTATATTTTTTGGGATTCTGACATATGTGGTCACACTTGTATGAAAAAACTAAAATGTTGGGCAGATTTGGTCATTTTGAGATGCTCAGAATATCAGAATATGCCCATAACCATTTCCATTTGGCTGGGTAAAAATAAGTTGTTCTGTTTTGTATCAGTTTCCAAATTTTTGAATAGTTATTTAATTGCTTAAAACAATGTTAATGACTTTTTTCTACTGTTCTGACCCTGCATACTTTTATTTATTCATTTTGTTTCTTTTTTTACATAGTGTTTTAGGTTTTTTTACTTCATCATTTTGGTGATGTTTGGTTTCATTTATTTATTTATTTTATTTTATTTTATTTTTTCTGTGGAGCGCAAAATGAACTTTTTGAAGGATCTTGACAGATGTGGTCACTTTTGTAGAAAAAAAAAAGTTCAGGACTATTCTTCAGTATTTGGCCATTTTGAGATCATCGGCATCTGCCAATAATCACGTCCTTTTGGCTGATTAAAAATAATGAAATAAATAATCCTGTGTTCCATGGATAACACCATATGAGTATGGACTAAGATGAGGCTGAGTAAACAATGACAGAAATGTTATTTATGGGCAAACGGTCCCTTCACTCTGTGTGTGTGTGTGTGTCTGTGTGTGTTCTCTGTGTGTGTGTCTCTCTCTCTGTGTGTGTGCGTGTGTGTCTCTGTGTGTGTGTGTGTGTGTGTGTGTGTGTGTCTTTCTCTGTGTGTGTGTTAACATTTTTTTGTGAATAAATATTATTTTTAATATTATTTCGATTTTATGTAATTTCACCTAGTTTATGTGCAATTTATGTGCATTTATTATATGCATTTTTGGACAGTGTGCAGTTCAGATCTGCTCTCATCGGGTCTTCAGGTCGGGTTTGTTGTGAATAATGCGTCTCAAATCCACCTATGATCCTCTCTGCGTCCAGTCACCCTGATCCTCTTATAGACCTGAACGCACTCAGATCTGTGACCGCTCACGGTCACATGACTGATCACTCAACCAATCAGCTGGCGTTTACAGCTGAGCGAGCAAAGATCATTCCCTCGACTGCAGGCCTCAGGTTGAGCGGGTCAAAGGTCACATCACACTCCCTCATGGGCCTGAGAACACTAAACACTGATCCTAGTAATGAATTCACCCCGGTGGACGACAAACGTGGGCTTTTCATTGAACATGATTCAGATTTTGATTGAGTTGTTTGTGTTTTGGTGTGTTTTAGAGTCAGTATCTGTGGATATCCGCGGCAGCAGGTGCGGCGCTATAAAGGCATCAGCTCGAGGCTCATGGTCACGTCAGAGTTCCTCGTGCAGCTCATCACCGGCATTCATTTCGCACTGTGAGTCATTCAGAACAAACCTGCTATCACATGTGTTTATGGGAGTGGCGGAGGGGGGAGTGGCCTCAAGTAACCCCCCACGCCCCGCCCACCTCATTATTATCAATGAGCGTGACTGGTGGGGGTGTGGCCTCAAGTCTCCCCACGCCCCGCCCACCTCATTATCATCAATGGGTGTGGCCTCAAGTCTCCCCACGCCCCGCCCACCTCATTATCATTATCACACTTTCATACTTTCATACTTTCTTTAATATGACTGTTCTGGTCAAAGTGAAACTAGGTAGATGCTTACTAAAAGAATAGATTATTTATTATTATTTTGTTTCTACTCAATCATTTTGTTTTAAGCATGTATATGGTATTTTTAATTATCATCACTATTATTATTTATATATTTTTTCTGTGGAACACAAAAAGATCTTATTGGAAGATTTTGTTAATGTATGAAAAAAGATTCATCAAATATTTGGCCGTTTTAAGATTTATCTCCATCTGTCGATACTTGACTGAAAGTAAACTGTTACCTTTTGCATCAGTTCTGAAATTTAAAAATAGTTATGTAATTTGTAACCTTTTTTTTTGTTTTATTCTTTTTCTACTCAATCATTTTGTTCTAACCCTGTATACTTTGATAGTTTTTATTTATTTTTCCTGTAGAATACAAAAATATTCTTCAAAAATGAATTAGGCCAGTTAATTTTGAGATTATCTGCATCTACTAATAATCATTTTTAATTTGACTGATTAAAAATAAGTTGTTCCCTTTTGTGTTAGTTCCCAAATGCAGAAAGAGTTATGTGATTTTTTTAATGCTATATTTTTAAGTATATATATATTTTAAAGTATTTTATATATATTTTTTTTAATAATAATGTATAACTTATTACTGTATTTTTTCTTCTTTTTTTTTTCTTCTTCTGTGTAACACAAAATTATATTTTTTGGGATTCTGACATATGTGGTCACACTTGTATGAAAAAACTAAAATGTTGGGCAGATTTGGTCATTTTGAGATGCTCAGAATATCAGAATATGCCCATAACCATTTCCATTTGGCTGGGTAAAAATAAGTTGTTCTGTTTTGTATCAGTTTCCAAATTTTTGAATAGTTATTTAATTGCTTAAAACAATGTTAATGACTTTTTTCTACTGTTCTGACCCTGCATACTTTTATTTATTCATTTTGTTTCTTTTTTTACATAGTGTTTTAGGTTTTTTTACTTCATCATTTTGGTGATGTTTGGTTTCATTTATTTATTTATTTTATTTTATTTTATTTTTTCTGTGGAGCGCAAAATGAACTTTTTGAAGGATCTTGACAGATGTGGTCACTTTTGTAGAAAAAAAAAAGTTCAGGACTATTCTTCAGTATTTGGCCATTTTGAGATCATCGGCATCTGCCAATAATCACGTCCTTTTGGCTGATTAAAAATAATGAAATAAATAATCCTGTGTTCCATGGATAACACCATATGAGTATGGACTAAGATGAGGCTGAGTAAACAATGACAGAAATGTTATTTATGGGCAAACGGTCCCTTCACTCTGTGTGTGTGTGTGTGTCTGTGTGTGTCTGTGTGTGTCTCTCTATGTGTGTGTGTGTGTGTATGTATGTGTGTGTGTGTGTTTCTCTCTCTCTCTGTGTGTGTGTGTGTGTGTGTGTGTCTGTATGTATGTATGTGTGTGTGTCTCTCTCTCTCTGTCTGTCTGTGTGTGTGTGTGTGTGTGTGTGTGTG